GTTGTTCTGAGTCTGGGTGTTCTTTATGTCCTGTTCATGAATATTTGTAAACTCCCCACAGCGTATATTCCTAATGAGGGAATTTTCTTTAAAAATAACTATATTTACTGTAGTTTTACTGCATAAAATTAGAGCCTCGACCGATGAGCCCAAATTCCTTTGTCGTTATGTCGTGTTCACGGTCCTTGATCCTGACTATATCGGTTAGGCTACACGATGGCTGGGGCCCGTATGCCGTCTATATGGACGGACCGACTCAAAACTATGGTCCTTTCTTCAAAATACCAACCCAGATCCTATACTGTACTCACATAGTTCTCTTTAAAGGACTTAAAAAAAGACACCTCTGTGGTTTGTTTCGGCGTTTCTTCTTAGAGTGAGCCTTAGGAAATGCCGGCGCTGCCTTAGGAAAGCTGTAAAACCTGACTTGTAAAAATATGTGCAAAAAGTTACTTGCAGAAATAAATATCATTTATCAGTCGGGTCGGGTCGGAGGTGAAGCCTTCTATCCTAAGCCTTTAGTGAGATACAATCCATACTAACATTATAAATGCGAAATTGTGTTAATCTGTCTGTCTGTTACCTCTTCACACTTAAACCGCTGAACCGATTAATATGAAATTTGGTATAGAAATAGTTTGAGTCCCGAGAAAGGACACAGGATGGTTTTTATCCCAGAAATCATCCTTTAAAGGGGTGAAAATAGGGGTTGAAGTTTGTATGGGGAATCAATGACTTTGATTCTTGACATTGGACATAGGGTCCTTTTTACCGCGATTACCGACATACACGCGGGCGGAGCCGAGGGCAAAAGGTAGTTAGAAGATATAAACTATAGTAATTTAAACATATTTTTATGGTAGAGGGGGGCAAACGAGCATAATGGTTACCTAATAGTAAGGTGCTACCGCCGAACATTGACAGCTGCAGCTCAAAAGTGTGTTCCCACCCTTTGTCTGCCCAGCCTTCGCTTCTTCCTAAAGTTAAGGACTCCGCTGAACTCTAACACTCAGTGCAATGGACACGGTTTTTCGTGGGGACGTGGTATCTCTCAGGTCGAGCGGGTCATATTCAGCTTTAAATTTTTTGTATAAATTGGCTAATCTAGTCCTTACTAATTGAACAATTACCACAGTTACTTCACCCAATAAAGCTTTGTCAAGCTTCACACACTATCTGATGCGAGGCGGTAAAACAATGTGTTTCTCAGCAACGGGATGGCACAATTGCTGCCAAGAGTCATGGGAGTTTCGCAGATGCAAAGATACCGCGGGAATGCAATCTGGAAGGTCCGTGACACCAAAAGATTTATTAGATCTATGTTAAACAAGGTGTATGGGTATGATTTTTCTCTTTAAAAAGCAGTTTTACCAACAAATTTGAGAACAGCACTTGAGAAAATAATAACAGATTTAATTCTTTTTTACCGAAAAAAATAAATGTCAAATCAATACTCTTGGTCTAATGGTTAGCGAAGCTGACTGCTAAGTCAGAGTTCGTGGAATCAATTCTCACCTGGGACAATTTATTGTGAGATGATCGCAATCGTCTGTTCAGTGTCTGGGTATAATTTATATACATTATGTATGTATTTAGACATATATAAGCATGTTTATCAGCAGTCGGATTACTCTAACACAGGCACTACCTAATTTGGAATCGGACGGCCCTGTACGCGATGTCTAACAAATAAATTACACGCTTTGCAAAACGATTTTTCTTTTATACTTATAGAAAATTATTTTGTACTTTTTAGTTCGGCTAGTTATAAAAGCGTGATGATTATTATTATCCCATTAAGACTAAAAAAAGTAACAAGCAAGTCACATATGCTTCAGCACACGCCTCTTGGTACGTACCAAAAGACACTACCGTATGTTTAGGCATGGCAAAAGCAGTTAATCCTGAAAATCCTGATCTGATCGGCCAAACTTATCAAATTATTATATAGTGATCTGTCCTTGATAAATATGCGAAGTTTCAATTTATTTCCACGTTTTAAGGTCAATTAAAACACGTTCGAAGATTCCGTTACTTAGATACATACATACCAAGGTAATAAAAGCGTGTTAAAAAGAAACGGAAACATTTTGTCGTCACTGAGGAACTAGGAAGGATAAAAACAATTAATAAAGTATGAAATAAAACTAAATTTGTATAGGAAACAAAAACTCACACGATACTGTAATGAGGTACTTGTAATTGTTGATGAGAACACGAAGTCATACAATTGTATGACAATATGACACATTAAGATAGCACCTAGTCTTATGTAACGTATTCTAATGAGATGTGAAGATGCTGAAACTAACAGTATCTAATGAGATGAACGCAAGAGGTGCGAAAGTCTCACAACGAACGTGAACTTTTTTTGTGAAATATTGAGCAAAGCCTCGGAGCACGCTAAGCCGTCGTTCCCGGTTGTCATACGATCATCTGTGGCAATTGTTACGGGCTCCAAAGCCCTAAAAAGTCTTATAACAGACAACAGAATTTCGATATCGCCTTATACTTGGGTTGTGGAGGTCTAATGGCAATCGCTACTAGTAAAAAAACGAAGTTTAACCATATTGTAGTAGACTTGAAGAAGACCCCAACATAGTTTGGGAAAAAAGGCTGGGAGGAAATTGAGCAAAGGAGCAGACGGGACGCCTGATGGACAGTGACTACCGCCACCCATAGACACAGTCAACCAGTCATCACATCAGTCATCAAAAGTCACAAGTGTCTTGCCGGCTTTTGTGGTTATTTAATTAACTTCTAAACGAGATTTTCGCGCCAAGTAAGCATCAAGTATAATAAAAAAAATGGAATGCTTTGAATACTTCTGAGCAACAATTGCAACGTACGGTGTTAAGATATGCCTAAGGTATGCTCTAGGCTCCAAAAGATAAACAAGTCTTTTCGAGGTTAATGTGTCCGATTTTATAATAAAATCCCAAATAATATTCAGGAGTTAACTATTAACATATTTAAATCCGCAATAAAACGTGGCTTGTGCCAGAGGGCCTACTACTCAATTGTGGATTACATAGAAGACAAGAACGCTTGGGATTAATTAAGGATTTTTGTTAAATTTATTTGCTTACTATTTGACAAAACAGAGATTGTTACTTTTGTGTGTACATCTATGACTTTAAAGTCTAGACGATTTCAAACAATAACAAAAAATGAAATAAAGAGCGTTTGAGTTTGAGTTAAACTTCTAGTAATTTAGGAAGTATTTAAAATACCATACACCCGAAACAGAATATCAATTATTTCTTTAATGACAACTGTCCAAGAGTTTTGTATACAATTTTGTCAAGAATAAGACATTAGTAAGCGTTATATCGTTTCATTTTTAAGTCGTTTAGTTTTATTAATCTGATTTTATTAAGTCTTTTACTGTACGATGTATGAAAAAAAATTGGCTAACAAATCGATTAAATGAACCCTCGCCTGCGGGGTACGGGCGTGGAGGTAGGTCGAGAACGTGAACTGTAAGAGGTAGGTTTTAATTCATTATTTTTATTCGTTATTCTGTTCTGCAGAAATAAAATTCTCCGTTTGTAATTGTTCTAGAATACCAAATTATTTAAATCATATGCACAAGCACATGGCATAACGACACGAATTTAAATATATTCGGTTTATTTTCAAAGATTATTTTATTTTTCAATTATTATTATTTTAACGACAATGACGCAAAAGAAAAAAGAGCAAATTACCTAGGTGCTGACGGCAGACGTATTCTTCTTTTTTTTCGAGCGCCAAAACCAAAAATAACCTTAAAAAGTAAAAAACTTATGTGATAAATTGTCCGTCACGATATATTTGCATAAAACCTTCAGTCTGAAAGAATCTTCTAATATTGGATTACTGGTCGTGAGTTTACGTAATAAAGCCAAATATCTACATAGTTGAAATTATTGACAAAAGTAATTAGGAATTCTGAAAATGACTATTTATTCATAGGGAAAATCTAGCGTCTTTAAGCGGCGATGGGGTAGGCTGTGGAGCATTTAACTCCAAAATTGTGTCGACCATAATTTTAGTTCCACTTAGGTAATTCCACTTAGGGCCTTACGCCACGTTTATTTCTAAACAACGTACTTGTAAATTTTTAAATATATGCATATTACAGATAAAATAAACTTACACGTAGAACAGTCGTGCTCATTACACTATATTTTTTGTGGGTGGGAGTTGAGCCCACGACCTTGTAACTTGAATAAAGAAAATTGAGAGAGAGAGAGAGAGAGAGAGAGAGAGAGAGAGAGAGAGAGAGAGAGAGAGAGAGAGAAATGTTTCTTGACGTAACAAAACGCTTACTTGTACAGTGGTAAGAGCATATACTACAAATACCTAAACTTACTATCCAGTGGGTATCCAGACTGAATTTATTCGTACAGACACAGTACCTACGTTATCTTCTAGACACACAGAAAACAGGGAATTTTTCAATGTTTTACCGTCTATATAAGGTACTTAATTAATAAGGTATGCTTCTTGTGTCTAGTATAAATCCTTTAATCTAAATCCTAAAAAAAAGTTTAAGCATTAAGTTCATGATTGCAAAGAATTAGAGCACAGAAGTTCTAATCCCGATCTTAATATAATTATAAACGCTAAAGTTTTGATGTATATATATATGTTACTTAATAATACCAGAACAGTTCTGAATAAAATTTGACACATAGAAAGATTATAGCTTGTAATAACACATAGGCTACACGGAACATGCTTGATTTGTGATCAAAGGCCATACTCTTTGGTATTCTATGAACACATTTTAATTATTATTTGGAATTGCAACATCTCTCATGTGATGTCAACTGTCAATATTGAATTTTGATGTAGAATATTTTATTGTTTACATATTCAATGAGTTATTTTATACAATATTCTATTATAAACATATTAATTTAGTTAAGATCTTAAGTAGCTGCCTATTTTCTGGAAAATTCCACAAGCACTTTGGCCTTGGCGGAAAATTTCGATTTGATTATAATTAAACAATGACTGAATCTTCTCTACATATCCAATGCCTTATCGGCATTCAGTGCCAAGATTTTACCATGCTTGCTGCAGACCAGACCAGTACTCTGAGCATCATTGTTATGAAAAATGGTATGTTTGTATACTCCTTTTCGAGGTCACAGACCGATCTCCGTCCTCCATAAGCGCAGGCCTGAGGGAACACATAGGGAATATATAGATGGCCCAAAGTACGTCGGGGTACCACGGATTTCCTTTCTAAAACACACGTGGTTCCCCGGTTCGAGTCCGACATAACCACCTGTGGGTGGTATCCGAGGGGATTTCCGCACAGAAAAACAAAAAAGGGGGGGGGGGGGAAAAGAAGCAGTCAAACTACCTGATGGTAAATGACTACCACCGCCCATGAACACCTTCAACTTAAGAGTATAAGTGCGTTGCCGCCTTATCAGGTCCATCCCTCCAGAATCAAAGATGGGTTTGTGGAACCTGACTGAAAAGCAATTAAAGACCTGTTTAACAACAGGTTTCTTTAAGACTGTGGTAACATTTCGCTGAAGACTGGCCTATACCCATACCTCTCCCACGAAAAAATCAGTGGCACTCCGGGACACTGCCGTCAGAAGTGAAAACTTATATACTTATATACGTATCTATACTTATATACGTATATACGTACTGTGTCGGTAACGGTAACAGAGTCGCGAGTTCAATTGCTTTTTTTTTCATCTCAAAACGCCCAACGCGCCCAAAGAAGTTTTCACTTCAACAGAGGTGTCGGTAACGGTAACCGTGTCGCGAGTTCAATGGTTTTCCCATTAAATTAATTATTTTGTTTATTGTTCAAAAATGCCCAACGCGCTTAAAGAAGATTTCACTTGAAAACACTGTTTTCATGTAACTTAAAACATCGAATTCATAACAGTACAAGTTAACTTAAATAATTGATTTTGTATAAGTCGCAATCTATAACATCACAGAGTTTACAGTTTCTGTATTAAACCACAAGAAACTAAAAGTATTGTTCTCTGTTATAAATATGAATCACTTTTCAAGTTATAAATTGAAAAACAATGTATAACAAATGAATAAAAATCATTCCATTGCCACCGTTATTTAAAAAGTACCGATTATTATCAAAACACGAGACAAAGAACAAAGTGTTATAAAAAACCACAATTGTATTAAAATTATTACGTTTATAAAATAAGATGCCACAGTGATGAGGACAGAAATGTTTCTATATTAAAGGGAAATGTTATGGTAGATTGTGGTAAAAATCACATAAAATTCAGTTGTACCTGTCCTAGTGCTTTTACAATCACCATAAAAATACACAATAAAAAAAACTGGGCAGGTTTACATGTGTGTGTTATTTCGATATGTAGTAAACGCTCAATAAGCTTTCACAAACGGCTGTCTGATTCCAAACTAGGCAGAGTCATCAATCATCATCCAGCCTTTAACAGTCCACTGCTGGACATAGGCCTCTCCTTAGAAAGGAGGTTTTGGCCTACTATACCACTCTGGCCAGACGGGTTGGTATAGGGTTTGTTTTAAGTTTTTCTTCTCTCTGCAGTGCTGTTGTCCTGCGCAGGTTGATCCCTTAGTCGTCTCTTACGACACAAACGGGATGAACAGGGGTGGTGACACTCCGTATTCTTAATCCGTCACCACACGGACACCACTAGGCAGAGTAGCAGATACTTATGTATTTCTAAATTCAAAACTATTGTAGATACATGACATGATCGAGTTCCTCATACAATTATATTTCCTGGGTGAGAATCGAAACCACGACCTCTTACTTAGCAGTCCGGATTGTTAACCACTCGACCAACAGGCCCAAAAAAAAACCTTAAAGAAAAGAGCGTACTCCTTCCTAAAAGGCCGGCAACGCGTTTGTTACTCCTGAGTTGCAGACGTTCATGGGCGGCGATAGTTACTTTCCATCGGGTGACCCGTCTGCTCGTCTGCCCCCTCTAACATAAAAGGCCCGTCATAACTCGTTTATATTGTTTTCTGTTAAACCATTCCTCGTTTTTAGTTTCAATTTCTCTAGTAATAGTTCACTAAAATTACGGGTTGGTTAAAATTACTGACCAGAAGGTAAGGTTTCGTAAAATTCGGTGCTGATCAACTTTCGACCTCGCAACTGTCATAAAAAGTATTTTCGTAGTAACATAGTAAAGTATTACTAAGATTAGCAGATTACCGATTCAACTTTCGTTCACAATCTATATTAGTATTAAAAATAAGCGGCGGTAGCCTAGTGGTTAAGGCGTTGGACTTGCGATCAAGAGGTCGTGGGTTCAATTCCTGACCACTACACTACCGACGTGAACCCACTCCTAACACAAGTAATTTAGCTTAGCGGGAGGGGTTAACGGGAATACTAGTAATTTCGATTGCCAGTACAAAAAAATAAAAAAAAATAAATAAAAAAAAAAAAAAATCGAAAGTGTATCTGTCTGTCTGTGTGTTACTTCGTCACGCTTAATCCGCTGAACCTATTTAGATGAAATTTGATATATAGATAGTTTGATTGTTGAAAAAGGACATAGGCTACTATTTACCGTGATAAGAGATATACATGTGGACGCAGCCGGGGGCAAAGTTAGTATGATATGATAACATTACAGTCAACGTTGGATGTTGACTACTTTACTATGAACCTTTCATGACATTTGTGAAATCGATCGTAGATCGGAACTGAATTTCGACCAAACTTTTATTACGAGACTTGGCCTTCTGGTATATCGTTTGCCGAACATGCAAATGCGCGTATATTATCTACTACAAGCTGGTACCTTCGTATTTTTGCATGCTTTATTCGATTGTTATACTGTACTATTGAGTCACTTAATTTGTATTGTTCAAAAAATGCTTGTACTTGTGTAACAATTTATTCTTCAGCGTTCTCTCTCAAATTTTTGCAATGCCTGGAAAAGGCTTCTGAGTTGGGACTACTACATATAATATTATAAGATCATTGATGTACACTTGGTTGGCAAATAAAGATTTGATTTGATTTGATTTGATTTGTAATAGTTCATTAAAATTACTGACTAGAAGGTAAGGTTTCGTAAAATTCAGTGCTGATCAACTTTCGACCTCGCAACTGTCATAAAAAGTATTTTCGTAGTAACATAGTAAAGTATTACTAAGATTAGCAGATTACCGATTCAACTTTCGTTCACAATCTATATTAGTATTAAAAATAAGCGGCGGTAGCCTAGTGGTTAAGGCGTTGGACTTGCGATCAAGAGGTCGTGGGTTCAATTCCTGACCACTACACTACCGACGTGAACCCACTCCTAACACAAGTAATTTAGCTTAGCGGGAGGGGTTAACGGGAATACTAGTAATTTCGATTGCCAGTACAAAAAAATAAAACAAAATAAATAAAAAAATAAATAAAATCGAAAGTGTGTCTGTCTGTCTGTGTGTTACTTCGTCACGCTTAATCCGCTGAACCTATTTAGATGAAGTGATTGATATATAGATAGTTTGATTGTTGAAAAAGGACATAGGCTACTATTTACCGTGATAAGAGATATACATGTGGACGCAGTCGGGGGCAAAGTTAGTATGATATGATAACATTACAGTCAACGTTGGATGTTTAATATTTTACTACAAAAATACCTTTAATGACATTTGTGAGATCGATCGTAGATCGGAACTGAATTTCGACCAAACTTTTATTACGAGACTTGGCCTTCTGGTATATCGTTTGCCGAACATGCAAATGCGCGTATATTATCTACTACAAGCTGGTACCCGCGGATTCGTTCGCGTGGAATTTCAACCGGACCGGGCAAATTTCAAAGAGTTTTTCTGAGAGGAAAAATAGCCTAAGTTATTCCTTGTGTAGACAGCTACCTGCTAGTAAAATATTTTCGAAATCGGCCCAACCGTCTAGGAGATTACCCGGAACAAACAGACAGACAGACAGACAAAAAAAAAACTGGTTTTTAGGCATAGATATCGTGCAATTAACCGTGTGAGTATGAAAAAACCCTATAGTTATGACATTACAAACAAACACTTCAGTTTTATTTATTTGTATATATAAAAATAAAAATTTCTCGAAGTTTTGACAAGATTTATGTATGTGCCTAAAATGTTATGGTAATCCATTAGGATTCTAATAAATTACTACCTTGATTATTAACGAAGACAATGTTGGTGACAATTTGTCAAATTAATCGTCTCCTAACTCCTGGGTGCTATCAACGACAGGCTCACCGCAGACCACCTTAACAAATAACAGGCGATCAATAATGAAAATTATGAAATGACTACGTAAAAACGCTCTTAAAAAAATAATAAAAAGGACCAATGCTTCGAAAAGCTTTCCTCATAAAAACTTCCATTGCCATCCTTCCAAATCCAAGTAGAATTTGCACTCCATTACTATTCATTTTTCAAGAAACTCGCACAACCAATCTGTGGAACAAAATTGTCACCTACGTTATTTCTGGACCAATAAGTAATTCAAATCTTTAAGAAAAGAGCGTACTGAATCTCAAAGACCGACCGGTCATTACCCTAGTGACGTTTGAGTTACAGATGTCAATAGGCAGTGGTAGTAACTTTTCATTTGTCATCATCATCATTAAAGAATCAAAATCATTTCAGATGTCAATAAGCTACACGACTTAACAAGCAAGCAAGTGCTGGGTATCATCGGTGACTCAGGAGACACAATGCAGTTAACACAGTTCATTTGTAAAAACTTGATGCTGTACCAAATGAAGAACGGATACCAGCTCAGCACTGAAGCTGTCGTACATTTCATTAGGAAAAATGTAATGGAAAGTCTGAAGTCTGGGGTGAGTGGTACAGACCAGCTTGGTGTTAGAAAAGACTGAACAAATGTTTCAGAAGAAAGAGAAAAGAAAGAAAGCTTGGATAGGTCTTAAACCTTTTTTAAGATATCATCACATCAACAGCCTATAATAGTCCACAACTGGACACAGGCCTCTTCTAAAAAAGGAGCTTTTGGCCTACTATACCACGCTGGCCAGACGGGTTGGTATAGAGGGTTTGTTTCAAGTTTTCCTTCTCTTTGCAGTACTGTTATCCTGCGAAGTTTGCTCCTTTAGTTGACTTTTACGACACCCACGGGATGAATAGGGGTGGTATCATTATGTATTCTTTTAAGATATAGGAAACGAATAACCAGACGGGTTACATAATTGAAAGTGCCGCCCATGAACGCAAATCAGGATTCACAAGCGCGTTGCCGGTCTTTGAGGAAGGAGTACGCTTTTTTCGTATCGGTTCCAAATACCACTGGCGACAATTTGTACTTTGACTAAGTTAGACCTCAGTGGTACAAGTGGTGAGGTATACTAAACTAGTTTTGGGTGCAACAAGGGCCTTTTAAGGAAATGAAGGGTTTATATAACTATAGAAACTAATTAAGCACTTACGAAATACACATGCAGGTAAAAGATGAAAGCTGGACAGCTGCTTACCGCAAATTTATTTGAGGTCGGCGCAATGAGTTTTCTTCTTCCATTCTCTTCTATCACTCGTCAGTTCAATGCTTACTACTAAACGTAGTCTCTTTCACGCAGATCATCCATCTTTTCTTTAATCGTCCTTTACTCTTATCAACTTGTCAACTCCCATACATAAAACTTTCTCAATACATTTTGATCATCTCTACGCATCACAACTGATCTGGACCTCATATTGTATCAATAGAATGTCGATGGACTGTGGTCGAAATAGTTTTGCACTTTACGTATTCTACTATGTAAGACCAATGGTCTCCGATAGCTTGTTGCTGAACTAAAAATGATACAAATGTCATCGATGTCTTTGCAATAGTTTGGTAAACGGTACATTTTAAACTTTTCAGGAAATTATTTACTTAATTTGCCAGATATGGCAATGTTCTTGAAACCACCATTGAAGAATCTTTACCACTACATCAACAGTCTATTGACACTGTGACACATGTTAGTAGAATACCGATATTTGACCGATGTCAATGGCATCACAATAGCGTGTCAATGGAATGACAGCGGCTTGTACATTACCATTAAATATCAGAATTGAGGCCCCGTACACATCTCCACCCTATCTCTTACCGTAGCCCCTAATCTGTCAAAGTTCTTAGTCGTTTGATCACTGCTCTCATTTCTAAGAGAAGAGTCGTAGCATGGTGTTGTATACCAATACTCATTGTATACTTCAATACGCCATATGTATGTATGTATATAAAAGCGGCGGTAGCCTAGTGGTCAAGGCATTGGACTTGACATCAATAGGTCGTGGACTCGAGTCCTGACCAAGAAACTACCGACGTGAATCCACTCCTAACACAAGCAATTTAGCTCAGCTGGAGGGGTTAACGGGAATACTAGTAATTTCGGTTGCTAGTAAGCCTTGTTTAATGCATTCCAAAATGTTTGCTTAGGTGGTAATTTATAAATGTGGGATTAGATCATCATGAACCTTGTTGGGCACAACAATAGATTAGAGAGGAAGAGATATTGCAAATTATTTAAATGTACCTAATTTATTGGTTGCGATTTCGTTTAACTAGAGTCGTTTTTGTCATTCAGATATTCGCTGAGCAATTGTTTTAATTTATTATATAAATTAATTTCTTCAAATGAATATCTTATTTAATTATTTTTTATATTAAAATCTTATTGATAGTTCGAGATACTGGGTCTTGATATTCTTCATTATATTAATTATTGATATTTTTTATTGATCAAGAGAATAATAATGAGAATTCTGCGACAGAAGTCACCCACGTCCGTCTGATTCCAAACTAGGCAGAACATATTATTATATTTTGGGCACCACAGCCATGATAAACACACTTACATATTTCAGAATTAGTTAATCGTGCAAAGCATCGTGCACATCATAATATCCCTGGTGGGACTCGAACCCAGGCCTTCTAGCATAGCAGTCAGAATCACTCACCACTAGGACATACACGGCGAACAGGCCAGACAGAAAACATCTTCAGTTCCACCACCAGTAATAAATTAAATGAAAAATGAAATATATAAGTATGTTTACGCTACGCTTTATTTTATAATGCAGGCATTTTAATATACAATGGTATATATAGATAAAATTATTTAAATATTTAATAAACATTACATAACTCACTTCCTTGTATGTTTGTTTGGTTACAAAGAAATGTTTAGTAACACTTTTATTTTATCTAAGTAGAAGTATATTTCAATAAAAAGAATATAAAAATATATGACGCTATTGTCTCGAATGTTTTATAAAACAGATATTTAAAAAAGCCTCTGTTTGTTATGTAATAATAAAGTTTTAAGTGTAGATATGCAAAATAGAGACATATACTTAATAATAAAACAACACTCAATAGAAGATGTGTTATTAAAGAAAACAAGTATAAACTAAAAATTTAAACCTCTGCACTAAAAAGTGAGGCCAGGTTCTGCCGGAGTTCTCGCATGTTCAACTGTTTTATCATCATCTATACAAATAAATAAAATTGAAGTGTATTTTTGTAATGTCAAAATAATAGGTTTTTTTCATGATCATGGTTACCTGCACGATACCTATGCCTAAAAACCAGTTAAAACTTTTTTGAATGTCTGTCTGCCTGTCTGTTTGTTCCGGGCAATCTTCTAACGACTGGACCAATTTTGATAATATTTTTTAAAATTTAAAATTTTGCCCGGTCCGGGAATCGAACCCACTAAGGCAGCGCTTTTCAAATTCCACTCGAACGACGTTACGGGTACCAGCTAGTCTACACCAATAAAATTACCTGCCCTAAATGACTGATTCATCAAAGCAAAGCCTAAACCTTTGGGGTTGTAAACCTCAAAGTTGTTGCAGCTGATGCTTTTTATGATGTAAGTAAGAAAATATTTTTGAAAATTTCACCCCGAAGAGGTTAAAATAAGCGATGAACAGCTCTATGGCAGTTCGTCATTTTCAAAGTTAGGAGCAACTGAAATAAGAAACAACCGCAGATAAAAGCTAGTCCTTTATAAAGTAAAAATACTTATGACATATAATAATTTATCTATAATATCTATTTAAAAATATATCAGTATGTTTATCAGCAGTCTGGTTACCATAGTACAGGCTCTGCCTAGTTTGGGATCAGACGGCCGTGAGTGAGATGTGTGAGATATATTATTAGATATTATTATTATATAGTTGATTACAAATCCGATTCTACAGCGATTAGACTACCAACTTTGCGAAGGCGTACAGAAGCACTTTCATTCGCTATTGACTATTACATTCTGTAACACTTTCGTACTTATGATAATAACTAGTGCTAGTGGTTACAAATCTAATTAAACGAATAATTTGCGCTTCATGAATAATTTATTCATTATTTTTACGTCTAAACTTGTTATTTTGACCACATGCGATAGCTTGTACCGTAGTTGGTGTATTCTTTTTGTTTCAATTGCATTTGTTTTGCTATGCATTTTTCATTTACTCGCTTATTAACCTTGTTTTTGTTAAAAATTGCACAATTTTTATGCAAATCTTTTATTTTTATGTATTTATTATATCTAATTGTTTTTAAAGACAACTCCCGCACTAGTAAATATATCCTGTGTCGCGGTGTTAGAAACATTCATGAAACAAACACATTTTTAAGATTCGTAGAACAATTTATGGGTCATCTTTGCGCCATCGTTCCACACGGCAAAACTTTCATTCCCATCACCTGATAATTGGCACTCCACCACTGTACGCTTGTCGAGATGTCGCTTGTCACATTTTGCACAACCAATCTGTGGAACAAGTTATTGTCTGTGGTAGGTATTCCCGGACCGATACGACTTTCGAGAAAAGACTGCCTCCGTAAAAATAGTCACACAAAGTTTTGTTCCATGTGGCGATCGAGCCCACAACACTCAGCGCAGTAGGAAGCGGCGAAGTGACCGCTTTAAACCACTACGCCGAATTTAATTGATTTCAATCAATCAATTATATTCGGCGTATTATATTTAATTGTGTGAGGTATATTATATTATTATATATTATAGATATCGATAAAAAACATACAATAATTACAACGCATGCCCTAGATATCGGGTTCGGAATACTTCGGAGCGATCACAACTCCCCCTGCATCTTAATTAGTTGGGTCTCTATAGGGCTAAGTGCTCGTAGTATCAAATGAGACACAAGAAGGAGTCATCTACACGCTGTAGATGGCCTGAGTTACGTCGGGGTACCAGGGATTTCCTTTCTAGGGTACACCTGGTTCCCCGGCTACTGGTACCCGAGACGGCATGCGGTTTTTGTTGGTTGGAGTCCGACATAACCACATAAGGCATAACATAGATGTTTTTCTTTATGTTTTCAGACTCCATGCATTGTGAACATGTTAGTGGGCGGTTATGATCAGTTAGAAGGTGGACAACTGTACACATTGGACTTTCTGGCCTCGGCCTTAAGGGTTCCCTACGGAGTGCACGGCTTTGGTGGCATCATCTGCTTGGGGTTATTGGACCGATATCATAAGTCTAGTAAGATGTTTGTGTTTCTAAGTGAATCAAGGATAAATAGTGAATCATGTCTTTGATAAGGCAATTTTTGTCAGACACATTGCCGTATCCGAAAAACGCTTTATTTTACAAGCACAAACCAAAAACTATATAAATCCTTCTTAAAAAAGTTCAACCGACTTCAAACAATACTAACAAAAAGCACTCAAAACCCAGCAGTAATCGCGGTTGATTTGCTGTCATTTTTTGAGGAGTTCCGTTTTCTGTTTCCGAAACTCATCACCAGAACTATATGAAATTTGAATGAGACCATTTTAAAATAAACCTCTTTGGAACAAAATAAAATTTTGAAGATCCGTCTAAATATGACGGAGTTATGCCCGAACCTACATAAAAAGCATATAAACATCCGAATTCATAACCTCTTCCTTTTTGAAGTCGGTTAAAATAGAAAAATGAAGAGAACTTCGCTGTCAGAAGAGTAGACAGAGTCAGTAAGAGTTACGTCAATAGAAATATTTTTTCTTAGTAAGTATAAATTAAGTGTTCAGCGCTTTTAAACCTGAATTGCGGCTTATTATTTCGGTGCAAATCTAGTGGATATTTATCTAAATGAATTAGATTCTTTTCTTGCATTAATCTTATACTCTAACTTCTTACTTTAATTATTTAATTAATAATTAAATTAAATTAATTATTAAATAATTCGTAACTAAGTATTTACTAAAAGGATAATATTAACGTTGGATGCCTTAATATTATCCGTTTAGTAAATATTTAATTACTAATATTATTTATATGTTTGTACCACCTTTGACACATTCCATCTTCGTAAATAATACTTTTTTTCAGAAAAAAAAAACTATACCCTTGTTCTAAATTTTATCATGATGTTTTAGTTAAGTTATGACGAAGTAACCAATAAACTTATCACATTCAGTCTCAGATAAGATTCTGTAGTCAGTTAACACCACGTCAAACAACGCTATTTGCAAGAAAATTAAAACATTAAAAAAAAATTACCGTGTGGTGACGGATTAAGAATACAGTGTCACCACCTCTATTCATCCCGTGGGCGTCTTAAGAGCCGACTAAGTTAGAAAACTAAGCAGAATAACAGCACCGTAGAGAGAAGGAAAACTTGACACAAGCCCTTTTTTTTTTTTTTTTTTTTTTTTTTTTTAACGTGTGGAAATCCCCTCGGACCGTCACCCCTCCGGGGTTTGCGGCGGGGTGGTGTGTCGGACTCGGACCGACTAAAACCACACGGTGTGCCACTCTGCGCCTGTAACAGGAGGGATCCGGGAACAGCTGTTGTTAAGACATCCGGACCCCTCCTAGCGCCAGCCCGCTCCTGGTGCGGGCTCCGTCTCAATGTTTTCCTCTCTTTATAGGTGACGTCCGGCACACGCGGACGCCGCCCCCTCGCGGCTGGCCAAACTAATGCGGGTGGAGGGGAAACCCACCCCGTCCACCCGCGGCCACACTCAGGGCGGCATGAGGCTGTGATATGCGGGCCTCCGCCGCCCGGTTCGCCGGCGGCGGATCGGGTCCGAGTGGAGGTCGTCCTCCCGGGCCCTCTCCGCCGCCTCCTTCCGCGAGATTACTACCTCGCAGAAGGTTGCGACCGCGGTAAAACAACTGTCGCTACCGGCCATGGAGCGTACTACGGCCGGTAGCGAGAGATCCACTCCGATTGACACAAGCCCTATACCAACCCGTCTGGCCAACGTGGTATAGTAGGCCAAAATCTCCTTTCTACCGAGAGGCCTATGTCCAGCAGTGGATTATTAAAGGCTGTTGATGTGATGTGATTTGAAAAGTTTTAATAATACTAAAATATCAATAACACAAAGGAAGGGGGTTTCATTTCAAATATACTTGATTGTTATAGTATTAGTACTTTTTAAAGATTTATCTGAAGTCTTTTCTTTCAGCAATGACAGAAACAGAGGGTTACGATTTAATAAAAACCTGTGTACACCAGATCCACGAGCGGTTATTTATTAATTTGCCAAACTTCCAAGTCAAGTTGGTGAACAAAGATGGCATCCAGACGCTTCCGGCTATCACACCGGCAACATTTGCCGCTCAAATTAATTTCTAACTTATGGGATAAGTAAGACAGATTTACCTCCATTATTTATAAGTCTGTGGCACTTTGTGGTCGCACTGATCAGAAATGGAGAACAAAAATGACTCGAAAAATAGATATAACCATCCTTAAAGCGTGTTGTATAACATGTCTCAATCGGTGCAGAACTTTTAGAGTTTTTGAAGCGTTCACAAACCATTTTAACATTTATTAATAATGTATATAGACCAGGAAAATTAAGATTTTCTTCAAAATAAATCCAACCGTGATATTCGACGTATTTTTGGTTCCTCTTTGTACATCATCATTATATAAGTAAAATGCAACAGCTAAGACCGTGCCATTATTTTGTAATTAGCTGTTAAAGTTTCAAAAACGTAGTTTTTCCGCCATTATAAATTTTCCTCGAGTTTTTACGAAAAGAAATGAAAGTTTTAAATATTAAAAATATCTACAAAATGAGACTCGTGCATTCCAATCGGTTTTTGTTTTTTTTACATCGTGCAAAAAACTGCTAAAATTCTTTGTTTTTTCAATAAACAATTATAAATGTAGGCTTATCCAACTTTGGTAAATCATAGACTCTGATGTGTAGTATATGTGTTTTTTTTTGGCGTAGTCCGTTGCATACTTTTATCAAAAAGCCATTTATTATTAAAAAAAGTAATTTTTTGCAAGTTTATTATTACAGCTTTAGAAAGTCGTACAATGGTGGATTTTAGGCTCATTCTCTGGTTGTGCTTTGAATCTGTGTTTATGACTAATTGATTTATTTAAGGGGTTTTGCAAAATGAGTTGCAAAAAAGGGCTCAGTTGTAAAATGGAATAACAAGGCCAGTTTCAATGTTATGTTTTAATTATTGTTCGACCTTTCAAAGCTGTTTAGCTTTTTAGAAAATAAATGGCCTTTTGCAAAAACTGTGCAACGGACTACGCCAAAAAAAAACCTAAACATCGGAGCCTATGAACACAAAGTTTTTATTGTTTATTCAAAAAAATATTTAAAAAAAAAAGCAACGATTTTTAGCCGTTTTTTACATGTAGTAAAAAACAAAATAACAAATTGAAACGCACCGAGTCTCATATTGTTGATATTTTTAAAATCTACACCTTTCAAATTTTACACTTCTTCGTAAAAAGTCGAGTAAAATTTATAATAGCGTAAAACTACGTTTTTGAAACTTTAACAGTAAATTCTCAGTTATTGCATTTTAGTTATATTATCATGCTATACCTGGAGGAACCAAAATACGTCGAAATATGGTTGGCATTTTTTTAAAGACACCTATCTAGTCGACTCTTTTTCCTGGTCTAAAATATATCGATTGTTATTAAGTATGATTAAGATGGAGTAGGAATGTTTCATATCAGTTTTTATACTGTTTATGAACTTTTTATTTTATCTTTCTTTTATTTTTTTTATTATATTGAAAATGATTAAACTTTTAGTAAAGAATTCTTTTTTTATTGTAGTTGCTTATTTTTACTGCACTTCCGTTAGTTATCATCATCAGCATCATCAACAGCCTTTAATACTTCATTATTAAAGGCTGCTGATACAAACTTCTATCTATCATTTAATTTAATTTTTATCTGGAAGTACACCTTTTTCTTTTTTTTTCTGTGCTGAAATCCCCTCGGATACCACCTGTCGGCATGTCGGACTCGGACCGACTAAAATCGCATGCCGTCTCGGGTACTAATAGCCGGGGAACCAGGTATACCCTAGAAAGGAAGTCCCTGGTGCCCCGACATACCTCGGGTCATCTACAGACGAGTAGACGACCCCCCCCCCCCCCGTGTGGGAACCCCATGTTCCCTGTGCTCCCTGGATCTGGAAGAACACCTGAATTTTTATAACAAACTTTATTCAATTGATGTTAAAATTACATTAATTAAATAACGTGTTATAAAATTTAGTTAAAGCTACAGTTAGGATATTTGAGTAAAACTCCGATGGCTGTTATAAACTCAAATAAATATATCTAATAATATTAAATCAAATTTGTATAACTATAATCTATGCATAACCGCTATTTGCCCACATTTTAGATTTAAATTCGGATTTTACGGTCTCTCGGGGACAGTACACCGTTAACTTTATTCTTACACACTATATTATGAATTGCTGTTCGTTAGTCTCGCTAAAACTCGAGAACGGCTGGACCGATTTGGCTAATTTTGGTCTTGAATTATTTGTGGAAGTCCAGAGAAGAGTTTAAAAATAAATATGAAAATGCCCGGTTTTTTTTATTCCGAGCATTTTTTAATTGTTTTCACAAAAAAAAAGGATTCCATTTGTTTAAGTTTATTTTATACAAAAGCTTATCAATTGAGGCAGTACGAAGTCTGCCGGGTCAGCTAGTATATTATAATATATAATAATATGAAATATATTAAACATATATTCTCTTTGTAAATTAAATATAAGCAGACATAGTTATGTAAATTCACATATAAGGGCAAGAATGATTTTATTTAAAATTCAATTACAATAATTCCTTTATGTCATTTCTAATAATATTTATCTTTTTAATTGCCCAAGACTAGAAACTTTAGGAATGCATTGAACGAGTGGTGATACTCTTTTGCCCATAATTTCTATTTCTCCATCAGATTACTAAATACTATAATTAACAATTTTTTTTACGTGTGGAAACCCGCTTTGGCCATCACCCACCGAGGTTTACGCCGGTGGTGGTGTCGTAATCGTACCGACTAAAACCACACTCTGCGCCTGTAATAAGAGGGATCCGGGAACTGCTGTTATTAAGACATCCGGATATCTTGTTAATTTACATAAGCCAGGCTCTAGTTTTACGTAAATTATTTAGCTATTGAATTTGATTGATTGCATTTGGACTTTTTTGGGGTTGCCCAGTGTTCCAAGGGAACCTTAGTGCTAGGCCTTCGGTGTCTGACTGTAAGTGTATCTATTCCGTAATTGATAGATGATTTTTATAGAGAGTATATTGAAAATAACAGCCATACAACAAATAAGCCCATACAGCACTATGAATATATCCTGTGTCCTAAGAATATAGCAAAATAACACCCATACAACAAACAAAAGCCCATACAGCACTAAAAATATATCCTGTGTCGCGGGAGACTTGTATAAACACTTATGTAACGGACACAAAGAACACTTAAAGTCAGAACAACAATTTGATAATCACACAAAGTGTTGTCCCATATGGGAATGGCACCAACAACACTCAGAGCAGTAGAAAGCAGTGAGGTGCCCTCTTAAACCACTACGATATCCGTGTAGTCAATATAGAACTATATATATACGGATATACAACAGAAATTACTAGTTAACTTTAATTTGTTTTGAACTAATAGTGTTTGTAATAGCAATTATCGAAGCGTAACTGTTCGATTGCGAAGCTAACATTATGACCATTGGATTATTGCGTCTAGAATTGGTTACATTTCTTACATAGGTCACAGCGGTCAGTTAAATTAGAGCAGTATTTCGCAATGTAACGCAACAAAATTAGCAATAGTAAATTTTATCATCATCAGTTGCCATTACTATTGCCCATGACGACAATCTCTTAATGGCTGAAAAAGGAAAAACAAGTATTTTGCCCACAAGTTTGTCAACATATGGGATGTTGACAAACTCGAATTGTTCGGACTATTACCAGCCGCGACTTTCCGCCATCGTTCCACACTGCAAAATTTTCATCCTCATCACCTGGATAGTTGGCGCTCCACTGCTCTGCGCTTTTCGAGACACTTTTTGCCCCGCACAACCAATCTGTTGAACGGGTTATCGTCTGCGGTATTTCCGGCCCGATACGACGTTCAAACCTTCAAGAAAAGAGCGTACTCCTTCCTAAAATGCCGGCAACGCGTTTGTGACTCATGATTTGCAGACGTTCTTGGGCGGCGTTAGTCACTTTCCATCAGGTGACCCGTCTACTCGTCTGCCCCCTTTAACATAAAAAAAAAGAAATGTGGATTTGACAATTATTTTGCTGACAGTAATATCAGAAACGGCCTAAAAATCCACATATTTGAGAGTCTTTAAAACTTTGCATACGATTCATATTTGGACTTCGCAAATATGATCATGTTTCCCACTACCGCAAAAAGCTTCCAATCCGCCTTCGACGGAATACTCATATCCTTACGCTTCTGTATTATATTCTGTTTAACCCATTAACTCCTGTTTTCCTCGCTTTAAGTTCCTTCATGACACACGTATGAAATGCCTCAGGTCCTCTGAAAGTCTGAGATTGGACATACCAAGGCATTTTACCAATTTCTACACAAAACATTTTCCGTAGAAGCTGTACGTTTATGGAATGCCTTGCCGGTTTCTATCGGACGTGCGCAATCCGTAACCACCTTCAAGCCTATGCTGTATGAGCATTATCTGTCTCTCATAGTTGGACATTAGCGTATGTATATATTAACGTATGTATGTATAGTATAAATATAGATTAGTAGGATTTACGTATGATAAATATTTCATAGGACCTCATTTATTTCTCTAATTTCTGTATACCTATCACCAGTTCAAAATGAACCCAGTCCATACAAAGGTTGCCTGGAAGTAATTGCACTAAGCCATAAGGCCGCCCTTTGTACATTGCATCTGTTGTTAATTACTTTATAATGTCTGTAAAACCCTGGTGTACAAATAGAGTATTTATCTATCTACCTTGAAAGGCTTACGTTAAGTAGCTGGATTAAGGGTCTAATGCAGAAAGCAGTAGGTACTTCTAGATACGGCCCATATTGTATTGTTCTTTCTGGACCCCGGTAGCTTGGTCCCTATGCGTGATACCGGTTTTACATTATGTTTATAATTGAAATTATTTAAAGTGTAATTTATATTGTTTTTTTTAAAGAGAACTTCCGCGCTAGGAATATTTCCTGTGTCGCGGGGGACTTTACAAACATTCATGAAACGGACACAAATAACATCCTGACTCAAAACAACGATTTGTTGATCGCACAAGGTGTTGTCGCATGAAGGGATCGAACCCAGAACA